TAAACATACACCAACCTCATGGGTTAAATCATATATTTCAGTTTTCTATTAATAGAGACGAAGTCCTTCAAGATCTGTTTACTGGCATTAAGTCAATCCAATCAACCTTTTATGTTGTGGCTCTTGATATTTCTACACAATTACGTCGACACTTTTGTATGATTATGAAAATTACCGGGATGTGCTCCATATAACAACAAAACATTAAAGCATATTAGCCGTTCAGGACCGTACTGGCTAACATGGACCCCGAACACCAATGTGCACTGAATCAAGAAATTAAAGACGTTATTTCAGACGTGCTTTTATCGAACAAATTGCACATAAACACCAACCCAATTGAACAGAACAATAATTTAAGTCGTTATAACTCGAACAAATCAAGTTTAATTTCCCCGGTTACCCTCAAAATATTTACCGCCGGACTCCAGAGAAACATCTCGACGTTTTCTTCGATCTCGTCTCCTTCCTCGGCGGTTTAACTTTCCGATAAATTAATTAATCTGTGGGTAGCTGACAGCCGACTGATCATCTAATAGGTCAAACGTTTGCATGCTGAGTGTGAAATTAAAGATTTTCTTACTGGACTTATACGATCTAAAATGTTGAGTCAAACAGAAAGGCCTCGTCGTCACCGTTGGATTTATTTGTTCGGCGTGATTCAGCTTCAGTCAAAAGGATGTGAAGAAAAACTTGGGTTATTAGCCAAAAGCTGGGCGATCTAAAAATGTATTCACCAACTTTTTGACAGCTCGAGGACATTTGATCTCTGAGGAGAAGCGAGAACAAGCTGAAGGAGACAAAGAGGCATTCAGCCCTGTGAGCTTTGTCTTCCAATAATGGTGACAGATGGCTAAGGAGGCCGACTTCGCCGACGTGTCTCGTAACTTTGTGAGGATTGAAGATTAGTTTTGAACTCAGACGGGGAGGATGTGTTTGGAAAGTGAAGGCATTATGATCGGTTCTGCAAAGAGCTGCTGGAGGGCCGGGGCTCGGTCGTACGGGTCGACTGAAACCCGCCGGGTCACCGGTGGCGTCCTTAAATTTTTATTCTGACGAGTTGCGGCTGTAGGTGGAACATTCTCATCGTTATGCACAGGAAGTGGACCACAAGGCGCCTTGAGCCTTCGCCCGCTCGCATAAGAAGCAGTTGTTGCCCCGTCGCCTTACATTCTGCATTTCAGGCATCTTTAATTGTTCTTATTACCCGATATAAAGAACGGAGCAACACCAGGCATCTGTAATGAGTCCAGCAGTCATTAGGAGAATTCTTGTTAAAACATTCTTGCCTTTGGGGCTCTTGTCAGGGTTTAGCACCTGGGCTTTTTTTTTTTGTTTTTGGATGACCAGAATAAAATCATTGTTTCCTCCGAGGCGAAGCTACGTGGAAGTAAATATTTGGAGGATGGGAAATGGAGCAGGACATATGCTTGGCGTTTATCATCAAGGCCGAAGCGTGGAAGTACAAATCTAGATTAAAAAGCCGCTTCCACAAAGCATTAATTCTTACTCCTCCGCGAAGCCGAGCGAGCGGCGCATCGCTACAAATCCGCCGCTGCATTATTTATTGTACCGAGAAAGCGATACTTGAGCGTATTTCTCACATACTCTTTGATAAATATTCTACTCAGGGCGCTCGTCCTTGACTGCGGGAAAAGCAAGCCGACGTAACTGAACGCTTTCATGTCTCCTTGTCTTCTTTTCATTTTTCTCTCATCTCATTTTCGTACTTCCTCCAACACCTGGATGAATGCAGCGCTCGTACCTGTACGACAGACCCAGTGTCTGTATAGATTTTTATGAACATTAAAGCCTATTCAGTGCGGCGCTGCAGGCCTTGGCGGTCTACTTGTTGAGCTCTGAGGCCATTAGGAACAATAGAGCATTCTTCACTTTGCTCAGGTGCTTTCACTTGTTTTCTCGTTCACTCATTAATGAATGTTAGCAGTTTTATCTTCTCTCTTCTTCTCAGTTATTGAAGAAAACAAATAGGACTCAAAGTAGTAGCCTTGGATGACGCCGCCGCCTTCCAGCTGACAATGAAGTCAACAAGAGTCTCAGAAAACCGATTAAAAGTTGAAGAAGTGCATCGTCACGATTTGTTGATCAAATCACGCATATAGTAAAAAAAATAAATAGAAAGTAATCCGTCCTCGTCACATCTGATAAACGCTGAAGATGTGTTTCATGTTGGCGCACAACAAAGTGGCATTTTCATTAACAGCACATCATGCCAGCTCCCATTTGGTAATTTGGTGACTCTAATTAACTTAAGGGCCCCGTAGTGAAAGGACAGGCACCGTGTCGGCTGGATCAGTAACAATCCACTGACACGCCGCAATTATGGTGTCAAGAGTGGCCTGAAGCCATTGCTCTGTTCGGCGCCGGCCGGCCCACAGAGAACCCGCACAGCATCACCTAAATCCTGTTTGGAGATGCGGCGCTGGACAGCTTCGTTGTACAAGTTTAACCTGAAGCCTGTCAGTGGGTCTGAAAGGTTTGTGGTTTTTGAAAAATCCAAATTTATCAGAGCCACAAACTGTAAAAACAGAAGAAGAAAAATAAACATTTTACTCTTAAATGGTTTCTGAACAATTAATCTATTTGGGAAAATCAACTGAACTCTGAGCTTGAAATTGTAAAATTTCATGAAAATCATCTTTTGTTTCTTTTTTTTTTTTAATCACCAAAAATAAACTGTTGGTTCTAACTAGATCCTGAATGAATCAATATTTTGCACTCATTTGTTCAGCAGCAAAACCATTTGTGCCTCAGCTGTGACAAACAGTAACGTGATGGATCAAGACTGAACTGCAGGCTGTTTATACACAAAGCATCCATCATCTCTACACCTTAATCCTCACCAGGGTGGAGCTGGAGTCTATCCCAGCTGACTCAGGGTGAAGGCAGGTTCACCTGGACAGGTAACCAGTCTATCACGGGTGTCCTCACCGGGACACCAACCGGCGACATTCTCGCTGTGAGGCAACGATGCTAACCACCGAGCTAACACACAACAGCACATCTTCTCTCTGTAAAGTGCTTTACTCGCTGCTATCTTCTCGAATCACTACTTCAAGCTGCATTTTGCACCACATTTCAGCCAAGAAACCTTTTTAATTAACATTATTTCCAGCAAATAATGCTTTCTAGAGTTTTTCATCACTAAATAAAACTCTCCTGTAGTCACTGGGACATGAACCTTCTTGCTGTGAGGCGACGGTGCTAACCACCGATCCACCTTACAGCCCTTGGGCATTTTTAACTTTTGTTAAATAAGTAATTGAACAGATTCAACTTTGTTTTTTCTTTTTTATGATAATGACATTATAACCAGGCTGCAAGGCGTCTCAGTGGTTAGCACCGTCGCCTTGCAGCCAGAAGATCTGATTTGGACACCCGGGATCCTTCTGCGTGGAGTCTCCATGTTCTCCCCGTGCAGCGTGGGTTCTCTCCGGGTTCTCCGGCTTCCTCCCACAGTCCAGAAACATGTTGAGGTTAATTGGTGATTGTAAATTGTCCGTAGGTGTGAATGTGAGTGTGCTTGGTTGTCTGTCTCTAAGTGTAGCCCTGTGATAGACTGGTTACCTGTCCAGGTGAACCTGCCTTCAGTCAGCTGGGACAGACTCCAGCGGTGTAAACATGATGGATGGATGGATATTATAAAGAAGACATGTTTTAGCTCCCTGTACTTGTAGAGGAACTGCTGTGAAAACGAGCCCACAGTACGTAAAGTTGTGACAGAATCAACGCGCCCAGAACAAGCTTTGGGCTTCAGAGGATTAATGCAACAAAAGCAATAATGCCACTGAGGCAAAAATCAGCTCAGACTCCATCATTCACCAGCGCTTCCTCTCCAGTATTTATGAGGCCTCACGCTGACTAGTTGAAGAATCTAATTTAGGAATTATTTGCGCACGCTCCTGCTGGTGCTCAGTTATCTGCTCTCCTCCGCTGTGGATGCTCAATCTTGCAGCTATCACTGGCAAAGTGATTGGCTACAACTCAGCATCCAAATACATAAAAGATTTGGTTCAGATTATCTTCTCGGAGTCTGAATCAAACACCGTCCCACAGCAACGACAACAGCCAAAGAAATACAAGCTTGTGACAACACACGGGGACTTGTTCATCTAATATGTGCCGTCTGAGCAATTATTAATCCTGAATCAGTCGACTGAAGGTTCTGCTGCTTTTCTGTTTGGTGCTCTTAGAAACAGCGTTCGTATATCCTGTTTTTTCCTCATTTCATTGGTGACAAATGCAGTCGCCGGCTGGCTTATATGAACCTGAGTGTGGTGGAGGTGGCGGAGGTGAATAAACACATCCCGTCTCAACTCACTGTGGACTTATTGTGTTTTAAACCAAATCGTGATTTCTCCCAAACCTTGTTGTCACTGAACATCTTACTGATACGTTTAGTAGTACTAAGCGTAAACACTCTGCACCGCGCTTCACTGATTCATGAAATTAAGGCCCGCCATGTTTTATACGTTTTGTGCTTGTTGTGTATTTCAGACGATTCTGTACCTTCTGTGAATAATAAATGATCCAGTCCGGTACTGTACTCTCCTCTTATGTGTTGTGTGCAGTGACTAATCCCAGCTCTTCTGTCTCTGAAGGCTCGTCCTACTTCTTCAAGGGGAAGGAGTACTGGCGGGTGCCGGGCAGCGACATGGAGGTGGAGGCCGGATACCCCCGCCTCATCGCCAAGGACTGGCTGCTGTGCACTGAGATGCAGTCGGACTCTCCGGACGCGGAGCCCAAAAGCACGGAGACGAGAGTCAACGTGCACCGGCACCCGGACCACGCCGAGAACGGCTACGAGGTGTGCTCCTGCACCTCGGACACCGCCTCGCCTTCGGGGGTCCGCGTCTCGCCGTCGCCCCTCTGGCTGCTGCCTCCTCTCTGGACGCTGTCGCTGGTCCTCCGCTCTGAACTGCTATGATGCTAAAGCTCGGGTCAAGGCGCCACGCTGCTGGAGGGCCGGCGGACGAACCAACACCTGGAAAATGTTGTTCTTATTATATAATTTCATATCCGTTTTTCTGTTGTTTTTTTCTGGCTCTAATTTTGCTGTTATTTATTTTACGTGTCATCTGTCGGCCGCCGCCAACAGAAGCAGTCATTGTTACAACCCACTTATAATGCTTTACAAAGGTTTTTATCGAACACGTCGTCTCTGCAAGGAAACTGAACAGCATTGTAGTCTGAGAGCACCCAAAGTGATTTGTTTGTCTTCGTGTGCAGCAGAAGCCTCACGTACGCTCCAGTTAAATCCTCTCTGAATGACGAACACGCAGCAGAAGGTTGCTTCACCAAAATTGCCTCAAAATTACATCAAAATTAGCCAAACCCATGTTTTCACGCTCACCTCAACGCGATGCCTGGTTAGATGTTTACCACCGCCGTGCACTGGAGATGAATGGAATCCATTCTGCGCTTATTTTATTTGAACACCGCGTGTCTTTGCGAAAATGATTTATGTGCGGATAACCCACACAACATTTTTTTATTTTTTAAAGTAGTTGCTTCCCGCTATGAAAATAGTTTGCAACAAGGTCTGTAAATTATCCCGAGTAGCAGGGATGCTGTTTGTGAAAAGACGCATTGCTGTTGGATTTAAAGTTAATTAAAAGTCATTTTTTCTGCGCGGTGTGCACAACCGCCGCCGCTTTCCATTCATCTCCATTGTACCCGGTGTCTCAGAAAGCGGGGAAATAAAACCGAAGTGGGATAGCAACAGAGGTACGGTTTTATTTTTTTATTTGAGGAACTGACCTTTTATTAATCCCTACAATCCACACACACACTTATCCATCCCTGCGCTGGTAAAGTGCTTGTGATGAGCATGAATGTCTGAATGCTTCTGGCAGACAGATGCATGGACGAGTAGGCGGCCGCACCGATTTCCTCGCCTAAATCTCTTTTCTGAAGCGAGGAACTGCTGCTCCTGTTCACCTCCTGAGTTGTTCGCATTCCTCAGTGTCTCTGGCATTAGGTTCCTGTTTATTTCACAATCGGGTCGTAGAGTTCATAGAGTCTCCTCTACCTGTATCGCCCCCCTTTAGCTCCGACGTCACAGCCCCTGGATTTATTCTTGCTGTAAAGATATATTTACCTATAGACTGATATATTTGAGTTGAGCGGTTCTGCAGTTGTTGCATCACCAAGTGGACTGTGTATATTTTAATCTGTGTTTTCTAATGTAAAATATTTTTGTAGAAAAATTAAAGAAAAAAAAAGAAAACATAACGTGAATGGCTTCCTCGGCTAATTATGGCGACACCAATGTGTATCGACTGCATTATTTTGAGGACTCATTCCTGCGGCTGTGTGGGCTGAGTGTGTAATTATTTAGTGTCATTGAAAGGCAGCCCGGGCTCCCAGACAGATGACGCTACATGACAGCTTGCAGACACCAACCGGGAGTCGCTCTCCGGCTCTCTGATGTTCTTAAGCATGTTTTCTCTTGTAGTGGTCACTGCTGTTCATCGGGAATGCAAATCACGTCGCGTCAATCACGTTGCGCTCCAAGTGGCTTCACAAGGAGGGTCCACAGCAAATCCACGTTTCTTCAGGGGAACAGTACCGGAGAATGAATGATCCAAAAATATCCACCGGCTCGGATACCTCAGAGATCAAAGTCGACGGGGTGTCAGGCTCGTCAGACTCACAAGTCGACACACGAACTCAGCTCCACCGATCAGCTGCAACATTAGAGCCGCTGACAGATGAAGGAAGCGACATCGATCTTCTCGTTACGGCCCAATGTTCTGCTTCGACACCTCTGGTCCTGGCATGCATGGAGGGGAGTTGCCTTGACATGTATCACCTACCTGAACATCTACTGCCCCAGCAGGATGACACCCCGCCGCGCTGCAAAAAACTGCTCAAAGAACCAAGAGTCCACGGCATTGATCCGGCCTCCGGACTCCCCAGGTCCCAATTTGGTTGAGTTTCCTCAAGATGCGCTAGAATAAGTCCTCCACCCGAAACCAACAGGACTCAAAGGACTCAGATGACAGACACCACAGGACGCCCCAGAGGTCCTCGGCCTGATGAGCCAGCCCAGATAGAACTAATTTGTTCTGAAAACGTTCTGAGACAGAAGTGATTTTTTATTTTTTTTGGCTCCAGAATAGTCTTCGTCAAAGTTGGGTAACTAAAGACGTTCTAAATGGTGATGTTGGACTGTTGTGTTGTTAGGCTCAGGTGGTAGAGCAGGTTGTCTTCCAATCGCAAGGTTGGTGGTTCGATCCCTCCACAGTCGACGTGTCTTTGAGCAAGACGCTGAACCCGAAGTTGCTCCCAATGGTGTTGCCATTGGATGGGATCTCCAACTCCGGTCCTCGTGAGCTCCTGTCCTGCAGGTTTTCGACGTTTCCGTACTGCATCACCTGACTCACATTAATGGATCATTAACAGACTTGTGTAGAACTTGACAACAAGCTGAAACGTCTAAAACCTGCAGGACGGTAGCTCACGAGGACCGGAGCTGGAGATCCCTGGTCTAGAGTGTGATGTTCCTTTGTGATGATGCGACATCGTAGGAAAGTTTTACAGATTCCAGAATGTGTTCCTTCAGCAACATCCCTAAGAACATCCTCAGAACATTGCAGGCAGAACGTAACTCCTTTACTTACACATCGCATTACATGAAACATTTTTAGAACGTT